GGCTTCAGGAAGTACAAATCATGTGCAGACCAAATTGCAACGCTTCGTATCATCATAGAACAGAGCATAGAATGGCAATCACCTCTCCACCTCAACTTCATCGACTTTGAGAAGGCCTTTGACAGCGTCGACCGAGAAGTAATTTGGAAACTGCTTCATTACTACGGAGTACCGCAAACCTTTATCCGCCTCATTCAACAACTATATGAAGATGCTACATGCCAAGTAATCCACAATGGGAAGCTCAGTGATGCCTTTGAAGTGAAGACAGGAGTGAAACAAGGTTGCCTACTATCCCCATGATATTCCTGATTGTGGTGGACTGGATCATGCAGCAAACAGTAGGCAGCGAGAAGAGGGGGATACACTGGACGACGGAAAAGAACCTAGAAGACTTGGATTTCGCCGATGACTTATGCCTAATGTCACATAAACTTGAAGATCTGCAGGCAAAAACTAACAAGTTGATAGAAGAGGCAGCTAAGACGGGACTTCAGGTGAATATAGAGAAGACAGAAGTGATGAAGATACCGCACCACCACCATCAACAACAACAACAAACTCCAATCACCGTCAACGGGAGAAACTTGAAGGAAGTAACCTCCTTCACTTATCTAGGAAGCACTGTTTCAACTACAGGCGGGACGGACGAGGACGTCAAAGTCAGAATCGGAAAAGCAAGACAGGCGTTCATTAGCCTGAAACCAGTGTGGAGATCTTCTGCACTCAGCATGCGGAACAAGATACGGATTTTCAACACCAACGTCAAGTCAGTGCTCTTGTATGGCTCAGAGACTTGGCGCGTCACGAAAGGTATTTCCAATAAACTACAGACATTCATCAACAACTGCTTACGCTCGCTGCTGAAGATCAGATGGCCAGAAAAAATAAGCAACAAGGAACTCTGGGAACGAACCAACCAAGAACCTATCACGCAACAAATATGCAGGAAGAAGTGGAGATGGATTGGCCATGCACTGAGAAGGCCGACTGAGGACATCACGCGTCAGGCCCTCGAGTGGAATCCCCATGGGAAGCGACGAGTTGGACGTCCGAGGGTGACATGGAGGAGGTCGTGCGAGCAGGAAATGAGAGCTTCTGGGCTGTCGTGGGACCAGGTTCAAAAGATCTCAGAGAACAGAGGTCACTGGAGGCGTGCTACTGAAGCCCTATGTTCCACTAGGAACCCAAGGGACTAATAATAATATAATAATAATATAATAATAATAATAATAATAATAAGCTCATTCCCTAGACGGCGTACTCAAATAGTGAAGTTCCGCCACGCCTACTCCTCCCCGAGGCGTATTTTGGGCGGTGTCATTCAAAGTAGCATGCTGGGACCCTTGCTTTTTCTCCTTTACACAAATGATATTTCTGACATAATAAAACACGGGAAATTCTACCCGTTTGCCGGTGACTTAAGCATTATACATAGTTTCCTCCACTCGTCACTGCGGGTTTTAATAGAATTCAGGAAGGCCTGACGAATCTGTTCTCTTGGAGTGAATATGGCAACTCCCACTTAACTCTAGTAAGTGCGGAAGTCTCTGTTTCAGTGACTCCTGCTCAAACGTCAGTTTACACCTTGGCGATTCTGTGCGGCAATCTTATAACTAGGTATGTAATTCAGGTATTATGTATTCTCGGAACTTAACGTTTACGGAGTATGCCCAGTCCCTTGCCTCCAAGTGTAGGCGCTCAGTTGGCCTTTTGCTCGAACATGTGTATACCACTGAGGCTAGACTGCTTTTATTCAAAGTAATGATCCGCCTAGTGTTTGAATATAACACAATCATCTTCAGCATCATGCATGCTTCGGATACGATACGCATTGGGTATATTTAGAGAGTTTGCTCGCTATGTACTGGGTAGCCATAAAGAACTCGATTATGAAGGAAAGTGCAAGAAGCTGATGATTAACCCACTTTGGCTACGACGCCTTAAGCTCAACCTCAACCTGTTTTCTCGCCTTGTGCGTGGCATTTTCATGTCCGTTGCTCTCTACTTTTAAGCCTATGTCCTCATACAGTTTATGCAATCGTGTGTGCTGTACCTGTCGAAAAATGCCGCCTGAAACTTGGGTCACGATTCCTTATGATACAACGCAGAAAGCCATGAAATAAGTCTCGACATTTTACCGGCACTCGCATGTCCCCATTTAATTTTCAACGTCTACTCGGTCAATTCCTACAGTTCACGGATATCCACAAACTTTATGACATCCATATTATATCTACAAATCTAAATATGATGGAGCGATCAGCACGTAATTATGGTCGAGCCATTGCATCCCTTTTGAACGCATTGTATGAATCAGGGTTTCCGAATTCGTCGAGTTCCTCCCACGTTGATGGGTTTACCATCGCATATGAGGGTGCAAGTACTGGTTCCTCTTCGTATAATAAACTTAATGAATACTGTTTTCCTCTCAAAGCCACTAGGGCACACCCAAAATATAGAAAATTTTAAGGAACTTTTAATGGAAAAACCATGTAGCTGACTCCACATACATACATGAGAATGTACGTAAAATTCCAATGGGTCCAAAAGAATAGTGACTTCTCACTTCTTCAAACTGAATAGCGTAGTAATTCCCTTTTCCATATCTGCCCGTGCTTCTTCTTTCTTGTCTCACTTGCGGCAACAGCTAGATGAGGACATTTGATGCCGAATTTTAATTTGAACATTATTGCTTATTAAAAAATACCTGCTCATGGACGCCAATGATTATCGGACTTCTCCCAATCTTTCGCAGTTTCTGGACCATCTTCTCGACTAACTCACTCGCTGGTCATGATTCTTTTTGTGACGAACCGTCTAAACTTTCAAAATAGTAATAGCTCCAGAGGCATTCTGACCAAATGGTTAAACCAGAGGCCAATCTACCTGCTGGCTCGGAACACGACCTACCTGCAGTAGCTCCACACTACATGTTTTCCAGCACTCTGTGTCAAGTGATCTTCTCATGTGAAACTTACCATGCATCAAACACACCCCTCGAATGATGCTGCTCATGCTAATACAAAAGGTACTGGAAGTCTGAGTATACGCACTGCCATTCGGACCATTGACCGTTTCAACGTTTTGTTCCATCCAACACACCGAGTGTCCCCAGGGAATAATTCTAAATTACCTTTAAACCTAAGGTGGTGACCTGGAAATACATCGATCTAGACTCACATTGGCCATGCTACTCTGGATACTTATCGCTACTCCAGATCGTATACATCGGCACTTTGTGGCAAGCAAAGCCAAATGCTGGAGGACCTTGTAATGAACGGACGGTTATACTACAAAAAACACGCCATGCAAATGGACTTATAACGTCGGCCGGCTACGACGCATACTTGGGACAGCGCGCTTTTGTTCCTAGTAGTGGAACTTATCTGTGTGATGGGAAATGACATTCCATGCCCGTCTCATGAATTGCAGCAATTTGCAATAGGATTGTGCACATCAGTAACCTGAAATGTGAATTATTTGATACCAAATACTATTCTGCAAACTTGCATGGATTATCAATTTGACGATGCTTGTAAACTACAACAACTACTACTACATCACTTTCGCAGGCTTGCCACCTTAGAAACTTAAATGACATCATAATCATCCCGTTGTTTAAGGTCAAAAGTGTCAGACAGTATTTTACCGTCGCCTTAGTAGCGCAAACACTAGGGTTTTAAAAAATTAACTGCTCATCCTTTATGAAGGAAATGTTATTTCCCATGACAAGATGGTCTTCGGATGGGACAAGCATGCCTAGCATGAGTGAAAAATGGTCTCCGGTATGCGACAACGAACTGCCAATGAATGTCGCGTTGGCAGATTTTAGAAGGGCTTTTAACAACGTGCTCTCAGGTTTGGTGCGGCACCGCAACTCTGGACATGAGACTTTCCTTAAGAAAGAAGGTAGATTAAGGGTTGATTGGACTTTCTCAGCGAAACCCTCGATGGATGGAGACCCTCAGGAAACAACCCTGGCCCCCTCCCTATACGTGCATTATGTTAGTGAATCACCACACTCAATGTAACTCGTAAGTACTCCTAATCGCATTTGGTAAAAATGTCTGGTGAGTTACAACTAACATTTCTGATAGGTGCACACTCCAAGAGGAGTTGGGTGAATTAATGTGGTGGTCGAAACGCTAGAGCCTGGAAATTACCCCTAGCAGAAGTGTGGTGTGACAAGTTGGCGACAGTTATTAATGCCAGTGTTTCGTCGAGGGTATACCGTTAACTCCAGTCTGGGAAATAAGACTGACGTAACATCATTAGCCACGACCTAATGACACCTGCCGATTGCAACGCAGCCGTCGTACCAGTTTTTATGCCCTTTGATTTGCTCAGAGGACTTTTTAAAGCCCTGATCGGAAGATTTTCAGTGTACTGTATTCTACATAAATAAAACTGCACCTCAAAAAATTACATTCAGGCAGCTAGCTATCCAGTGACTGAAAGTACGTACTGGCGTACTCCAGCATGTTCAAAAAGCATCTATTGGGCTGATGACCAGCTTTTCTAATTTCTCATATGGTTATCACCTTGACTGACTGAGGTCATTCTGTGTTTCACTGTAGAAAAATAAGGTGATTTCATGCTTACGTTTCGTTGCCTTAGTAGTGAACGTAAGAATGATGTCTTTTCATTTCTCCCCCGCTACAGTTGGTTATCTCAGGGGCCGTCACGAGAAAATCCAAAGCCTGAAATTGAATCAACTCATCGTGAGCTCATATTTTTCTCATAGTGTGGTAAACAACTGTAATTCAGCTAGTAATATCGGCTGCTTTGGTAAAAATGTTCAAGGAGAAACTACATCGTCTCAGATATATCTACTGCAGTGAATATCAGTGTGTAGTCCGCCTACCTTTCTTATTACTTACTAGTGACGCTGAAAACTGAAAAACGATATTGAATATTGGGTCGGATTATTTTGTGTTCCGAGCCCTCGATAACACCTTCAATTATTCTAGTGATATTTTGAACTTCAGCTTTGAAAGATGAACAGAAAGGACTTACATAGGTTGTTTAAGGAAACTCCATGTGTAGAGCCAGTCATCAATCTAAAAAGATCAAACAACTCCCTGGAAAGAATTTATGGTAAAGTAAGTTATGTTAATGTCCACAGTCTTCCGTAAACATAACCTTACCAAGCACATTCAAACCAAACGGGGAAAACAAATGGAATAAAGGACAAAAAGTGAGAAGTAAGGGGGAATCCCGATCCAAAATAAAAGAAACTTTCATGAGGAAATACAACTGACTTCGTCTTTTCACGCTTTCCCCACTCAGATTCAGATTTTTTGTTTGAGGACAGAAGGCCGTGAGCCTATATTAATGCTTCTCCAGTAGATTTCTATGTCTGTCCAATCCCTTTTTGAACGATTCAATCGATGATGTGGACATCAATTCTAGGAATCGGTTCTAGGAGTTAATTACTCGACAACAGAATTAGTACTCTGCGGAGACTATGTTCGTTCTTTGCTTTTGTAGCTTTCTTCTATGTCCTCTGAGGTGTTCCGATCTAGTATGAGGAAAAAGGGAAGATAGATCAGGTCCAGAGTCATCTATTAGAATCCTACATAACATGGTTAGACCTTCCCTCTGCCTGCGATAAGATAAAGAAAAGAGGTCCAGAAGACGCCGTTTATCTCTTTTTCCCGTCTGATGTCACTCTCTTCATCCAGCATACATCTTTACTTTTCTACTTTCCCCGCTTGATTTTGAGTCGTTCTCCGTTGTTTAACTACTTTTCCCATCGAAATTAGCTTCATTCCTACTTAATTGTTTAGTTTTCACCTTAAATTCAAAGGCATAAAAAGAGGGGAAAAGGGGAAACGTAGACAACTGAGTAGAAATGAAGCTAATTTCAGTGGGAAAAGTAGATAAGCAAGGGACAAGATGGTATATCTAGAGGTAAAAGTAAGCATATAGGTTGAATGTAGAAAGTGAGATCAGTGGGGAAAAAGCGTGAAAAAGGACAATTGATTGCATTTCTACACGAATGTCGCTTTATTTTTGCATTGGGCTTCCCTCTCACTTGCCACTTTTTCTCTTGATTCGATTTATTTTCTACGTTTTGGTGCGTGCTGTGTTACTATGAAAATGTAAATTGTGTCAGAAAATGCCAGTTGAAAATACAATGCTTAGTGCTGCGATGTAGGTCGAAGGTTTATGTTTATCAGCTGATAGCGTAACTGCTATTTTTACCCCAATTATCACTACTAATTTTTTCCTCCTCCTTTCTCTCTTTCTGATTCTCATTCGTCTCGTCCTATTTATTCAGGTTATCTATACCACTCTTTCCTCCCGTCTTCTCTGAATTCACCTAGATCTCATCTTTCACTCTATCTTACTTTTCTTTCCGTTTCACTTCCTCTCCTTTGTTTTCTGTTGGTTATCTTTTCATTCTCTTTATCTTTATTGACTTCCACTTTCAGGTGTAAGTTTAGTAGGGTGATTAGCCTGTAATGTTCCTGGTAGTAGAAATCTCTGTGAAGATCTAGTTTCTCCTTCAAAGCGCTCGTCAAACGAGTTGCTACCACAATTGTGGTGACTTAAGTTCAGGTTATAAGTTCTGGACTTTGACCACCCAATCAGAGAATCTGAGTTCCACCTGTAATTATTTGACCATGGCTTTTGAAAATTTTATGGTGAACTCGTAGATAGTCAACTCTGGAAAAGTAAATAGATTCAAAAGATCAGCAATCAAGTCATTATTCTTGATACTATACATTAATATGAGATCTTCCCTTTTCCTACGTCATGATAATGCGAAAATATTAGAGCTTCCCAACTGCTTTTCATAGAGAAGTTAGGGGTATCCTGCTGCTAACTTTTGTACCTATTCTATTGTCTGTTTCTTGCTTTAAGCAGTAACTAGCTGACTGTACGCAATATTCCGAATAAGGTCTTGCGTAAATAGGATAAGGTATCCTGAATATTTCTTCATAAAAATTCTTAGAAGCTTTTACAGAGTGACAGTAACTTGAGGAATGCCTTGAATGCCGCCACGTTAAGCTGTGTTGTTATTTTCATGTTGTGGCTGATAACAACATTTAAATCTCCTTGTTCCTAGCTCAAGGCAATACTGACCCATCTAATGAGCAGTGCGACTGTTGGCAAGTGTGAATTAAAGCACTTTTGTTAGGGCTTATTTCTAGGCTGTAGCGCTTAGGCTTTTCTGTCAACTCATCTAAGCCAGTCTCGAGTGATATCCTATCGTCATAACTATGAACCACTCTCCAAATCTTCGCATTATCTGCAAATAGCAAGCATGATGATGCAAGCACACCTGGTAATTTACTGCAGTAAAAAAGGAGCAAAAGAGGCCCTATTACAGTGACCTGGGGAACCTCACTCATTACCAGTTATCAGTCAGATAGAACTCCACTAACTCTGACATTTCCCTCCCATCATGCAGGTAGTTCAAGAATCACTTACCAATGCTGACGTCTATACCGAAACCTACGAGATTCCTCAGTAACGTCGAGTGAGACCTTATCAAATACCCTGCTCGAAACAGTAAACATCATATCAAGGACATTTTACTATCTCTTGCTTTCACCATTTCTTCTCTGGCTAGAAACAAGTTCGTTAAGCATGAGTGTCCGGGTAGAAAGCCCTGTGGCTTCAGTACCAATAAGCCATGTGTTTCTACTTGGCGCGAAAATGTATCCCTGATCATTGCCTCCGATGCTTTCATCAACGTTTCAAGTCAAACTGACTGAGTGGTAGTTAAAAACTAGGTTCTCATTACCATCCTTGAAAATGGGGATTATCATGGTGTCGTTCCACTCCTTGTGTGGTCATTCCAAACAACTTCCCTGTGACACGACATTTAAAGGAACTGTTCACACCGCGGCCTTCGAACATGTCATACACCTCCCAACAAATTTAACTAACACTAAGCTTCCTGTCGAGTTTATCAGAGCTACAGCAAACGAGTAGGTGAATATAATATAAAGGAAACCACCAAAGATCTCGAACCGTTCTGCAAAACCTAGAACTACCGGAAACTAATCAGAAACCCATACTATTACAACTTGTCGGCAACGTAAAGGTACATAAGAGGGAATTCTTCCAAATATTTAACAATATTTTTTAATCTTGATCTAGGTCGAACTCGCTCTGTTCCTTTTAAATAGTCAACAACTTGAACTTTGAAGCTTGTTAAGTAACCTCAGCTCTTTCGGTAAACTTGTCTTAGGTGAAACTGAATCTTCACAGTGACATTTACTGAAATTAACTAATTCCGACATGTTTGCTATCTTAATAACTAAAAGGTGAAAAAGTAGTATGCCTTATGGTTTCTCCATACTTTGTGGCCTAACGGGGACTACTAGTTTATCTAAAATTAAAGACGAAGATCTATAGAGCTGGAGTCAGGATTATGGTTCCACATTAGAGTGGATGCGTTATCGATATACCGCGTGTTATTACTTCTCCGTTCCTGAATTTTTGGAGTTTGGACATATAAAACCTTACTGGTTGGATAAGTAGGATAAATTATCATTCGGTATTCATGTTCTCATTTCTCCAAGGGTATACTTAAATAATATAAGTTGAATATTCATTGATTCAAGAACCGATGGCCAGTCGGAGTAACTATAGCATAATACTACATTTCTGTTCCAGTTGCTTGCCTGTGATTGTAAGCTATGACAAGGAGAGGTCCGCAGATTGTTATGAAGTTAAAATAGAGCGCTGGGTTCTTTTATCTCCTTGGTGAGCTTTCAGATGTTTGGATGAGGACATGTTCTGGATAAAACTTCAGTTAATTGTGAAGTTTTATCCATATAAACGGCTTGGCTGCTGACAAAAATGTATTGTTTAGCACTTGCTAAATTGCACAAATTTTGGAGTCTCTGATCGTTATTCTGAGACGTATGGGGAAGCTTAAGTCACTTGACTAGGATACTTGGAGTGATATGAGTGAACTATAAGAGAATGTAATTAGAATGCTTCGAAATCAATCACAATAAGGTAAATGTATACACTCCTTTTCACCTTTGAAATTTTGAACGTTTTCATCAAACTTAATCAAAGCAATCTGCTTCTATACAATTTTCTCTGCTGCAGTGCCATTCTTTAACCATCCAATTTCTCTTCGCACACTGTGGTGATGTTCAAGAACTTAACCTGATGTACTTCTCCGCCAGCTTCTCTGTTAATTCGCCACTTCCTCTATTTTCCTTACCAGAGAGAAATTAATGTCAGCTTAGGTGGACAACAGCCTTCATATAGATATTTAATGCAAAGATCAACACAAATTAGAGTTGCGTAGTGTCCATTTGAGTGAGTATTAGAGACATTTCAAAAGTTGTACAGCTTAACATCTTGAGTAATTTTTTGTGAAACATTCATAATTTAGAAGGTGGAGAAACTGTACAAAATTCTGTGATATTTTAGAGGGACTGACTAAGTTTTTTACCAAATCCGTGGAAGCGAGTGGAATTTTAGGGAACTTAAGAAAATGTGATCCATTCACCGTGTTTATCCAGAAATTTCTCAATGGACTTATGATTTCTCTCATTCTTCCCGAAAATAATTAGCTTGTGTTGGTATGAGAAGGCTTCCACTCAAATCTAAAGACTTTATTTATACTATAAAGATTAGAAGCAACTTAGGACTGCATAAAGCTGTTAAACGTTACTTGTCACTTGAAGGATAAGCTAAAGGAAGATGTAGTTGAAGGAATACAGCTTGGAAAAGTATAAAAAGAGTTTTTAATAAATTCATAAATGGTTTTTCTTGCTATATATTTCGGGAAATGTAGAGGAAATGCTGTTTAAATTTGTTTCAGAAATATTCACTGTAAGAAAAAGAAATCAAGCAGAAGGATAACTGTACAACTTTTGCATTCTTTCAAGACGGTAAGGCTACCGTTATCGTTCCAAAAAACGAGACATAAAAGGAAAAATTGTGATCAATACGTTGACAACATCGTCTCAGTATATCATTGCAAAAATAAGTGCCATAGTAAGTGAGGAGATAAGTAAAGGATTCAATGAACGCAATGTATCACATAAAAAATTTGCGAGTAGAAATAATTTACTAGTGTAATTAAAGGGCATCATTCTTTCAAGTTTTCTTCGGGATAGAATTTGAGCATAAAACAATAGTTCAACATCAACATGTGTTATGCTATTAAGATACTTACTTCACTGTAGGCCGAATATAATCTATCTAGTACTGAAACGAGCCAAACTAACACCACTTTGAGTTATTTTGTCCTACTTTTGTGACTCATATCCTTCGTTGGAGTTAGATGAAGACTGACAGACTCAACAATGAACCCAACACACAACTCCATCGTCACAAGTGGTCACAACTCACAGTAACACAAAAATATCACATGCATACAAAAGGCATATTATCAAAGTACACAAAGTAGGCTGAGAGAATAAACAGTCTGAAGATAAAGTTTACTGCGAATATTCAAGCTTTAAAAGATGTCAACCGATTTCCAGCCATCACCAACAACCAAGTATCCTCAACCACTCATTTCTCTCCTCTCGATCACTCCAACCAAACAGTCTACATCTCACAATGAGGCTCACACCAACGGTCAACAATTTCATCGATTGGTATCAAGTCTCGTTCTGGCCACCTTCTCCACCTTATCCATCACAATCCAGCTTCCCTAGTATGATACGTCGAGGAGGGCAGTGGCTCGATATGTGTAGTACATGTCCACGTCAAATCAGTCAACTAAGTTTCACAGCCTCATCAACTGGCTTGCTTATCTTTCATGGTATCCTTTGTCTGATTTCAACAGCATGTGAGCAACACGGTGATTCCATGAAATGCGAGCAGTGCCACGAAGATATATGTGACGCTGTATCTGTATCATTTTTTCCTTCTGTTAAGGACTATGTCTCACAGCCGTATAGCAGGAATAGATAGATTGCAACGCATCATATTCATTCTTCGTGGATAGTTGGATGTCTCTTCCATCGGACCCATATTTAATGCAAGTTGGCAAGTGCTAAATGGGCCTTCTGTATCCAAGCTGAAATTTCATCAGCAGTCGTTTTGAAGCAGTTTGCTTGGTCACTTCATTTTCGAAGAAAAAATAAAGATTAGATATAATCGTCCAGTTGTAGTACATACGAGTGGATTTTGACCAAATATTATTTTCAATCTCTGCTTGTAGTTTTTCTAGTATATTCATTCCCACTAAGCTGACAATTATAGGTTGACAGGGTTAGTGACAAAGTAATTTAACAGTTTTTATAGGTGTTTTTGATACCAAGGTATGCAATAAGGCTGAAATGAGAACTAAACTACTTTGCATTGTTGCTAGTTGTCACTATTTAATGTAATCTCATGCGAAATATTTCGCAAATATATTAGAACATTGATAGCGCAATCTTTTAAAGGACTTTGAAAGTAAGAAACTTGACAAATGTTTTTGTTCAGTACAAAAAATATGCATGGTACGTGTTGTAGGTTGAATAAAATAGAAAGCATACCTTCACACCTCAAATAAAACAAAGGAAAGGGGGAAAGGATTCAAACACTTGTATTTTCTGGTACCATCTGGTTCGTAGTCAGAAATCTGTATTGATTATAATGACAAAAATAAGATGTTTTAGTAAAAATAGCCGGATCAAAATATACTTAAGGAAGAAAAATTCAGATTTAGGTAATTCAATAGAACTTCAAACAGTATACTGTTTCCTGATTGTCTCAAAAAGGTTTACTGAGAGAATCGCATAAAGCTTTGAAGAAATATTTATAGCCTGCCTTTTTTTTGAAAACTTTTCTAAAAACATCCAATATTTTATCAACGTAAAAGTCATCCACGTTTTTGTTTTTTTTTAACTATTTCCAGTACTAAGTTCCATTCGAATTCTTAAGATCCTGCAGAGAATCAGAATTATTTGTTACCCAAGAAACAGATTGTAAAAAACACTAATTTTCTTATGAACATATTCCAACACAAGGCTAGTCTGTTTTGATTAGTTACAAGCCTGGAATCTCACTATTTGAAATGTTTCGGATCTCATGTGTAGTGATTTCTTCACTAACGCTTTATGGTTTAAATAATTATCTATACATCTAGTTTATCTTAAAAAGAATTTATACAGGGTGATGATGAAGGTGAAATGAAAATTTGGACAGTGGATGAATTCCAACTAGTGACCACCAAGTTTCCGATCCGATGCTCTACCAACTAAGCTACGAGATTCATTGGAAACATACAATTTAATTAGTTCAAGTTAGACTAAAGAAGCATACAAAAGTTCCGCTTCAAAATTTTAATATCTTTAGAAAACTAAGAACATAGTAAATCAATGCTACAAAATCAGTAATGCTCTACATATAGGTGAATCTCTCTAAAATCTCATGGTTTGAAAAGAATACATTCTCCATAATGTTAAACATATCTCATTCACAAAGGCATATTTACCGAGGACATTAGTGTAGTGTTAGGTCATTGCGTCTTCTTTCTGTGACTTTTTTTCCCATCATTTCTTTCTCACTGTATACCATACTGACTTCAGGATATTGACAATAAACTTTAGTTGTTTGACTCCCTTAGTATCGATTGATAGATACTTCCATCTCAAAGGTAATGTAAAAAAACATTATCTTTCATAATTATTGATTCTAACTGAAAGAATAACCCAGAAATCGACTTTTCTATTATTTACTGAGTATGTGCAAAAACATTTAACGGTTTACACCTAAAACTAATTCAAACTTTGAAATCTATGGTAATTCATATGTTGAAGTTTGTGCTTTGAGTACAAAATATATTTTTATAGTCATCTGATTGGCATTGTGTATAGCTTTAAGTAATATTAACCCTTAACATCAATACCTTCACTTTAACGCTTACGTAATGTCTTTTTAAACATAAATTCTTCAAGTTTTATATATCTGATTAATCATAACTGTATTCGACTAATTAAACCACAAAAGATTCTTTAACTGAGTAGCTTGATGTTGCTTAAATCTTTGCCGAATCTTTGATCACTGTTATTAACGTTAAATTATTTTTTATTCCGATCTTTTGAACCGTGACAAAAAGTGGATACTTTGTTGCTAGGTGAATGTTATACTTATGAGTAATTATACAGCTTCGTATTAATACCGTTAAGGGGGTAACTATCTGCCTTTCTGTCCTGTTGTATGGCTGTGAGACATAGTCCTTAACAGAAGGAAAAATGATACAGATACAGCGTCACATATATCTTCGTGGCACTGCTCGCATTTCATGGAATCACCGTGTTGCTCACATGCTGTTGAAATCAGACAAAGGATACCATGAAAGATAAGCAAGCCAGTTGATGAGGCTGTGAAACTTAGTTGACTGATTTGACGTGGACATGTACTACACATATCGAGCCACTGCCCTCCTCGACGTATCATACTAGGGAAGCTGGATTGTGATGGATAAGGTGGAGAAGGTGGCCAGAACGAGACTTGATACCAATCGATGAAATTGTTGACCGTTGGTGTGAGCCTCATTGTGAGATGTAGACTGTTTGGTTGGAGTGATCGAGAGGAGAGAAATGAGTGGTTGAGGATACTTGGTTGTTGGTGATGGCTGGAAATCGGTTGACATCTTTTAAAGCTTGAATATTCGCAGTAAACTTTATCTTCAGACTGTTTATTCTCTCAGCCTACTTTGTGTACTTTGATAATATGCCTTTTGTATGCATGTGATATTTTTGTGTTACTGTGAGTTGTGACCACTTGTGATGATGGAGTTGTGTGTAAGGTTCAATTTTTATTTCTCTCAGTCAGTTGGTATATGGACGAAATCGTTTGAAAGGAAAGCTGAATTATACTGACAGTTTTTCGAAAGACCTGACTGGAAGCAAACTTCACCTCTTATTTTATTTCTTGAATGTTTTTGAAAATTCTTATCGACTGATAAGATTATTGAGGAATGCCACATTTAATTTAAGGAAGTGTAGAATTGTTAGATAGAGAATTCGGGATATCACATACTGATGATTTGAAAACGATGAGTAATGTTTTAGAATGGTTTTAGTGATAGTTAACAGGCCTAGAAATGAAGAATGTCATAAAATGTGCATTAGTTGGGGCTGTTATTTCTGGACGTTATGTGGAAGTAGTTCTGTGAACATGTTTTTGATATACCATCTGTTACTGATGTTATAAGTTGCCAGTTTGTTCATATCCATCAGTTAGTTAGTTCATATTATCAGTTTAGTCAACTATTTCTAAAATTACCTGATTCTATTCTTCAATATATGCTTGTTTTGCTTAGTAGACAGCAATATTAGGTTACTGGTGTCAGTATTTTAGTCAAATCCTATTGATGTATGCCTCAGTTTATTCCCGTTAGTATATATATATATATATATATATATATATATATATATATAGCTCAGTTTTCTAAGTTTCAAAAACTATTGTCTAGCGATATAGACAGCCGATATACTACTGCTTATAGTTAAATAATCTACCTTGCAAACAGATAATTGTACTTCTGCTTTTTAGAAAGCCTTTTATCTTTCTTCGATCAAACTGGAAATCATAAGGTTTTAATATATTTTTTTATAACACTTAAAAGTTTAGGAAATAATTCAAATATTCTCATTTTTATTGTTTAGAAACATCGTCGTCATCAAAGAAGTGAGAGTTCGACAAATGAGAAATCACCACAACCAAAACCTCAACCACAATCATCAAATCGTATTTCTGATAAAGTGAAATCTGAACTAGGATCTGAACTAGTAAATGAATTCAAAGACAACGAAAGTAATAAATTTCATTTAGAAAGTTCTCATAGTTATGAAAATCCACTAGCTGATAAAATTTCTACACCAAATCCATCTTTACATGAGTCAGGTTCTTATAAATACAAGACATCGAATTCATCAACATGGATTCCTAACACAATTCATCCCTCTTCTTTATCTTCTCATTGTAATTCAGGGCAAACTTTGCCAAGATATACACTCCTACGAGAACCTGATGAATTTGATCAATATCTGTCTGATGATTCACAAGATAATCGTTTACTTCCAGATATTGATTCACCTATCCTACACTCACCAATACTCAACAAACCATATGAAAACCGTAATATAATGAATTCACATTTTATAAATAATGAATATTTAGAGGAGAAAATCTCTGGACTTTCTCAATCATGTATAAATATTAATCCATATGAATTATACGAAAGTCAACTGAATGCACAACTAGCAAAATTAAGCATTCTACATGCTCAACAATTAAACATTCAAGTTTTACTCGAACGAGAATGGTTGAAATTACACAAGGTTTGTTAATTATCACCAATTGTGTATATACATTTTTAAAAAATAAATTTTCAACGGATGTATACACATTTTTATGTATGAAGTATGTAGTTTTAAACGTTTATCAACTGTCACTTCATAAACTAATAGTAAATTCCAACATGAAAATATTCTTTTCTACAAATAGTCATAAATTCTCACAGAAAAATCTTCTTAATTATTCATTTCAAAAATACTTGCTACGTTTCGCATATTATAAATACTCTCTTTAGTATAAACTCTGTAATAATTATAATATATGTAATTAATATGAGATATTATCAGTTTGACTATCATTTGATAAACTTGTATTGATACTGAGTGATGATTTAGATGAAATGAAAGTTTGATGATTCGAAACAGTATCAATACAAGTTTACCAAAACCATAGCTATCTCATAAAGTCAAACTGACAATCAATATGATGCTCCTCTTCTCTTACTCAAGTAGATTTGGATTGGAATGAGAAGTTCTGACCAAGAAGATGGTATGGCTACTATCAAGTGGTAGTAAGGCGTCATGAATTCACATGTTAGTCGGGCAAAACCCTTGGTGATTGAAGTAAACTAAAAATCTCATCAGTGGTTGGACCTCATAACTCAGTTGATAGAATATTCGGTCCCAAATCTAGTGATATTTATATAAAACAGTAATGTACTATATTGTTACTATGTTTTTAAAATGGGTAACAAACTCCAAAGTAATTTATAATGAAACATTAACCTATATATATTTCGATTCCGATTTTAATCCATCTAAGTAAAAAATGTTTTCAAGGAAATTTGAGGACAATTAACCTCTGATTTCACAGAACTATCATTTCACTTAAATTCTATACCATGAGATTCAATCTATGAGAGATCAGGTTTCGTTGACATTTATGGGAATGTACCCAATTAGTTATATTCATCAGGCAAAACTTCGTGTGATAGCTTGTACAATCGTTTCAAGCTAATAAACGACATTAGATTCTATTTGTGGAACCTAACCATTTCCTGTGTTTATATGTTTGTAATCAAAGTTGTTGCTTTATATTCAACCATATCAGTATTGTTATCTTTGTAAGTGATGAGGCTTAAAGGTTTGGCAAATGAAACTGATGAAAGGAAAATGATACATAATCTGTTGTTTTATCCATCTTTCTGGTTATATATACCACTGAAATAGCTAAAAATTAGGCACCAGTGATAAATTCCCCATGAAAAAAATATCGCTCACTTAAATTCTCTCATGTACGTTAATGAATTAGTTTACTTAGCAGTAATCGCCAATTTTTATCTCACTTTAGTGTTGAGATATAAGGCAACCTAAAATGTATTCTACTTTCATAGGCTAGACTAGTCAGTGAAAGAAGTAAGCACATTCAACAGAACTATGAATAGGTAGTCAAACAACTTAACGTTTACACTTGTTGAATTCTTTGTCATAGAGGACAAGTGTCGAAGGAAGTAAAGTCAATTTTAGTAAACGAAAAATATTACTTACACGCACTTTTCGCATCTGAAACGAATACAATTTTATTGCAAGATGACATTGTTGTAATTACTACCTTCCATGTTTGTGAAGTAGTACAAATAACCCATTGAAGTAGTTATAATTCTGCATGGATAATAAATAGGTTATCATTGTCTTGCATATCAACCAGTTAGGACCAATATGCAACCTAGCAATACTGCACGACGATCCATGTTGATATGCTTCATATCTGCCTATAATAATGGAAGATGCGGGGTAAAAGATAAAGATGTAGGGAAGAAACTAGTCCAAAGTCGTAGAAAGTTGTGATAAGAGAACTGAAGGGAATGGAGCAGTAATGACACTGGGTATGAAGATCAAGATGAAGATAATTAGTGGATAATATCTGTCATCGTGATTGATTCTGAGGGATATCATCTAGATTCTCCAACCACCAATTTTCGATGTTCCACAGACCCTAACTGAAAAGTCCGTACGCAGAACAGAACATATCTCAAAGACTTTGTGAATCCTAACCATGTATTAGTAAAGCCATCGCTAAGCTTTTTCTAGCCAAAGATATACTTCACCTAATATAGCCTAACAGGAAAGGTAGAGACAAGGTAGTCATATCACCTGAGTTGACGAAGGTTCATAACCTGATCAACTAACATCTGATAAGTGCGTTACTGTCTGCGCCATAACGTATAACCCAGCCAGAGTTTTGGCTATTAAAGCTTGCTGGCTGATTTGACGTGGGAAGCTGACACATAGGGCTCCAATATGTAGTTTGAGGCATGATTTTAGAAGCCTAAAGTTGCTGTTCTACAGACCTAACCCGTCATCAGGTGCTACAGAGCTGGAATAAATTGAAGATGATGGAGAAATATTGAATGAAAGATGTAGGGAAATATTAGAAGATAGGGATTTAGGAGGCAGATAATGTTCTGCGGTAACACTATTGCTGACAGAGTTATGGGAGCGAATGGTACTCCTTGGGTGCCGATACCATGTAAAGTGCCTGAGGCGCCTATGGAGGAAGCAGTCGTGAGTGACCACAGAGCCCAGGCGATATCTGCTAGAGGCCTATTGCCCATGACCTTTTAGGAAGTTCAATATTGAAGTTTGTTTATTTTAAATCCAGTTGTATCTTCATACCGCCGACAACGGGAGACTGCTGGGTAGGGAGCAGTTTGCTATTTTGAGGCCGTCTTCCTAACTCTAACTCTCCTCATAATGAGTACAGCATTAAGACGCTGCTGCTGGTCACCCATGAAAAAGATCTTACTGCCGTCACCATACACAGTTCAGCCAGCAGTATAATTTCTCCAACCAACCCTGTTCATAGAGTAGTAAATTCATAATATAACGATATCTGTCACCGTGCAACAAACGTCTGTGGTATAGTGGGACATCAAGAAACAAATTTTCTCGCCAACATACCGCGTTCACCGTTGTAAAATGCTAGGCCGACTATCATATGAAGGTAGTAGCTATTGGTTGTAGGTCATATATAAATATGCATAATATTTTAATGAAAATCTTTTTAGTTCATTGGTCAGCGCTGGTCATGTTCTTCGGAAGCCTAGTGGATTTAGATTATTTGGTTGAAATTCGACATGAGTAAAAAATTAAGCAATCGATATCACTCTTATAACGACTGATGGCGTACAACCTTGCTTATATCAGTGTTCAGTGATACCTAGTTTCAGTGCTAATTTCACTATTGTCTGAAGAACAAAGAAATATATTAACTTTCAAGTGGCCAAAAATCATTCGCTTTGAGACATAACCTCAGTTTCAAGTCGGAGTCATGAGTATTTCAGCTGTTGAAAAGTATTTGGATTGCTTCATAAACCATTTCTTGCCACCAAAATTTGGTAAATTACATCGAAATCTTGCCATTAATGAACACTTTAAATCGGCTTCATCTTTAATTTTTGTAAAATTCCAGAATTCGATATGATTGGACTTTTTTTAGACTTTATGTTTGCATTGAATAATGTCCTTTTAAGAGGTTAGCTTTTCATGTAAATACATATTTATAAATATGCGCACCTAGTCGAAAGATTATTAGTGTAAGTTATTGAAATCACTTGATATTTCACTAATACTTTTATTCTGATTCCAAATAAGAATAAAAATTTAAAGGTTTTAGAAGAAAGTAAACGAAATTCCGTTTAAAGTCACGAGATGGTAGGAAGGTTAGAGTTTTGCCTATACCCTATATAACTACAGTATTGTGTTGTTTTCACCTGATATAATTTGCAATCTGTAAATCCCCATTGTATCCTATATTTATCATTTGATAGTGTAATGTCAATTAAGATCACTGAAGTTTATTTTCAGTTAAATGGTAGGTTTGTCAACTCTTTTCTTTTCTTTATTCAAAACACAAAGATTTAATCTTAAAAACTAGATCATCACAATACTGGTTTTATTAAATAATTATAGTTGTAGAGACGGTTAAGCAAGATACTCATCATAAATATGAGACTATATGTTAACTCATTAGTAAAAATAGGGCAATGGGAGACGAATGACAACAGCGGACATACTCATACCACTGTTGCAGAAGGTTTAGAAGGAAAGGAAGGTACCTGCTCATTGACTGGAAGAAGGGCTACCTTGTCAAACTCCCAAAGAAAGGGAAACCTTAGTCTTTGCAAGAACTGGTGAGGAAATTTTCCTCCTGTCCCTGTCCGCTCTAAGCAAAATATTAAGCCACATCATTCATGAGAGACTGAAGAATGCTCTGCATTCAAAATTACGACCGGAACAGGCTGTCTGGCTGGTTTCAGGAAGAACAAATCATGTGCATACCAAATTGCAACACTACGCAGTCAACTTTCTACCTCAACTTCATCGACTTTGAAAAGACCTTTGACAGCGTCAACCGAGAAGTAATTTAGCAACTGCTTCAACACCATGGAATACCACAAACCTTCATCAACCTCATTCAACAACTATATGAAGACGCCACATGCCAAGTAAATCACAATGGGAAGCTCAGTGATGCCTTCAAAGTGAAGACAGGAGTAAGACAAGGCTGTCTACTATCACCTATGATATTCCTGATTGTGGTCGACTGCACTGGACTGGATCATGCAGCGAACCGTGGGGAGTGAGAAGATGTGCATACGCTGGCTGGACCAATGAGAAGACCCTAGAAGAGTTGGGTTTCTCCCATGATGATTTATGTCTAATAGTTGCACAAACTCGAAGATCTATAGGCAAAAAATAACAAGTTGACAGAAGAGGCAGGGCAGAGAAGACGGGACCTCAAGTGAACGTAGAGAAGACGGAGGTGATGAAGATACCCAACCAACACCACCCACCACCACCAACAACAACAACAACAAGCTCCAGTCACCATCAACGGGAGAAACTTGAAGGAAGTAACCTCTTTCACCTATCTAGACAGAACTGTTTCAACTACAGGTGGCGGCACAGATGATGACGTCAAAACCAAGATCGGAAAAGCAAGACAGGCATTCATTAGTCTGAAGCCGGTGTGGAGATCTACT